GCTGAAGATATATTATGTCCTAAAAGCCAGGAATTTCATACCAAGGTAAAGACTCCATAGAAATCAGTGTTCATGTCCTTTGGGATATATGTGTATGTGTGTGTGTGTGCATGCACATGCAAACTTTCCTAATAGCATTAGTTACAACAGCCCAAAGCTAGAAATAGCCAATAGAAGAGATAAATTATGATACATCCATGTAATATAAAGTAATGAAAATGAGTAAACTAAAGTCACATCAACAAGGGTAAATGTTAAAGAAATAATGTTGAATAAAAATAATTCCAGACATGATAAAAACAAAGAACCTAACTCTACGATTCCATTTATACAGAACTCAAAAACAGGCATAAACTACATTATTTAAGCATGAGTAATCAGGCAGTAAAACTGTAAAACAGAGCAAAACCTGAATCTGATATTAATCATAATAGTGGCTAGCTCTAAACACTTGAAAATTATTAAAACAGGGGTACATTGGGGACTTTTCGGGTGCTGGTAGTATTCTAATTCTGGACCACGATTACATTAGTGTTATTTTAGTCTTCAGCTAGTACCCTTCTATTTTATGAATTTTCTTTATGTTTGACACCACAAAAAAAGTCTAATCTTCTCTTTTCCTCCATACTTCCGGATTCCTCCCTTAGTCAGAAGCATCTACAGTGTCTCAGAGACTTAACATTGTTACAGCAAGACCACAAAGAAATCAGCTGAAGCGGTCCAGAGGAAGCCACTGTGTCATAAAAGTTATTCTGAGCTGAAAGCATTTGAATTTCTGAAATCTCTTATCACGTGAAGGCAGATCTTCCCCAAAGAACTGAATTATCAAACATCCCTTCCTGGGGACCAGCTCTAACAGTCTCTCCCTGGAGAGAAGTAGGCACCACATTCAGACATTATTACAAAACTCTGTCTTCCATTAATTCTCCTAAGAGCTCATTTAATTTTCCAAAAAGTCATCTGTTTTTCTATAAGTGCACTTTCTCTTCCTCTTCTCCTCTGAAGAAGTCATTTGTTCTCCGAGAATTTCTCCTCTGCTCCTCTCCATCCCCTTACTAGGATGGTGGCTAAGCTCAAATTCTGACCACCTCTCTGAGTTGCTTTGTCAATGCTTGTGTATGTATGTATATGTGTAATTCGTTTTTTTTCTTGTTAATATACATATATTTTTAAAGCCTTTTATTGGAAAGGCAGAGTGACAGAGAGAAGAGGCAGAGAGAAAAAGAAATCCTCCATCTGCTGGCTCACTCCCCAAATGGCTTCGTCTGCTAGGGCTGGGTCAAGCCAAAGCTGGGAGGCAGGAACTCCACATGGATGGCAAGGGCCCCCAAACTTGGCCCAACATCCACTGTTTTCCCAGGCACTTTAGCAGGGAGCTGAATTGGAAGCCGAGCAGCTGGGACTCAAACCAGGGCTGTGATATGGAATGCCAGCATCACAAATGGTAGCTTCACTAACTGCACCACAATGCCGGCCCCTTTTGTCAGTTTAATCTGTAGGCTCCAAGGTCAGAACATAAAAGGGTAGGGGAAAAGTTTTCTCCCCCACATAGCTCAGCCAGTTTTTAAAAACATTTTCCAAGTCATTTCTCAGGAATAAAAAAAAAAAAAAAAAACCTCGCTGAGGGATTTGATGCTATTTCCTTCACAGCCCTGGCCAGGGAGATTAGCTGAAACCTACAAAGTGGCAGGAAGCAGAAAGACAGGGAGCGGGGACAGAACTATGGAGACTACTGGGGGCAGATGAGTCTCCATGGGGACGGTGGACAAGAAGAGTCTCTGAGCTCTGCTGAATGTTGTTGCAGTTGACAGGGCAGGAGGCCTGGGCGAAGAGCCAGGAAAGCTGTCCCTGCAGCCACTGAGAGCCGTCTGCCGCTCAAATACAACAGTCATCAGTCAGCAGAGGACTTGCACTGGCGATGGCTTTACCTGCCGCCACAGCGCCGGCCCGATTTTGGTTTTTTGTCAAGGGTTCCTCAGTATTCTCAGAGGAGTCTGGGAACCTGCTCTAGAGACTTCCACTTGTTTTATTCTTCTCAATATATTTTAAAATAAAATGTATTTATAGTAAATGACACTTGCATTTTGAAAAAGTTCCCTTCAGAAGAGAACAGACCACAAGCTGTTACGTATTTATTTTTCCCTCCAGACGACACTTCTCAGTGCTACAGACCCTTAGATCCCCTTTGTTTATGTCTCCCCTTGAAGTCGCAAAGCCATCTTGAACACGTTCAAACTGATATAATTTCCCCGGCTCTCTTCCAGCGTCGCCCATATCTCCATGATGGCCTTACTGTCTTCACCGGACTCGCCAGAAATTCTGAGTCATTTCGCACTCTCCTCTCTCTTTCAATCCCCATCCCACGCTGCCACATGTGTCGTGGGTCCATTCCCAAGACACCCCATTTTACTTCCTAAATTGTTCCCTTCCCTGCCCCGCTTGGTTCCTACCTCAATCCACTTGAACTACTATCACCTAGCACACTACCTACCGCAGACCCTAGTATGTCCAACACTGGCTCTTCCTGTGTTCCCACACTGCAGCTGACCTTTTCAAAACACAGACCTGAGCACGTCAAGGCCCCTCCCTCTAAAGGAAACGAACGTTCTAGACAGGGCCAATATCCTGCTTAGCGTGCTCCAGTGAGACCGGCAGCCGGCGCTTCACTACAGTGGCATCCTGCAGTCCCTCAGCTTGCAATGTTCCCTCCTGACAAGAAGTCCTTTACACAGGGGACTCCGTTTGCCCTTCCTCCCTCCTTCAGTTCTTCATCCTTAAGATCTTTGCATGCGACTTCCTCCTCCAGGAAGCCTTCCCTAATCTTGACCAGAACAGTGAATGGCCCTACTCTAAGCTCTCATACTCTAAAAGATTCAATTTATTGAAAAAAATTCAATGTATTGAATTAGATCATTGGCTACAAAAGTTTGCTTCCTCTTTCAAAGTATTCTCTGGTGTTCTGCAGAATTTGCTGCTCCAGACTCTGTCCGAGCATTTTTAGAATCGGTAGGGGAGAACGTGACACCTGGACTCCAAGGAAGCAGCACCTTCCTAGGCAGTCCTGTGTATCTCCCCCCCCCCCCCCCCCCCCCCCTGGGGGGCAAACCTAACCTCACCAGTTTTCCAATACTGTGAGCAATCGCTGCTAGCCCAGCATTTACTTATCCTGTAAGGTACTGAGAGAGAGAAAGAGAGAGAGAGAGAGAGAGTGTGTGTGTGTGTGTGTGTGTGTGTTTGAGGTTTCTCCTATTACGGTCAGATGCTTTAGAACAGCCGTTTTATGTACCTCTGAATCCTCAACACTTAACGCAGGGCCTTGTTATGTTTGGAATCACCCTGTAGCCCATCATCCAGTGATAGAGAGCATTTGTCGATTTCTCTGCTTGTAAGGCTGTTCCCTCATTTTGTATGACAAACTCTTACCTTGGTATAAAGGAGGCAGGATATAGTGTTACCTTCAACAATGTGGGCATACTTAATCTCTTTCTTTTACAGTTTCATTTGAAAAATGATACTTTTCTTAAAAGGTTGTTGGGAGGATTAAAAGAGTTCATGACTAAATTCTTCTCTTTTCCCATTGCCAGGTCATAGCTCTCCCATTCCTTAGGGAATCTTATCTCAGAATTAAATTTTTGGAATCTTTCCAATGCAGTTGGCTCTTCATCTCAGCCATCCAGTTTGTACCCTTTTATAAAAGGTCTTGATGACTCGGTACAAACTACAGGACAAACTATTTGCAAGTGTACAAGCCCTTCTTTCCTGTTTGCTAGAAAGGAGATCTTCCAGTAGTGGGATGGATTTGCATAGCTGCACAGGACTTCAAATACTTTCAACAGTAAACGCTGAAAAACAAAATGGTCAGATTTCCCTATCAAAACAGTTGAGCTGCTTGTTCATTTTCTTCTACATTTATAAAGTGCCTGGCTCACAGAACACACATCTTAGTTCTTACTTACATCCATCGTTCTAAGTTTATTGAGCTGTAACTAAAGATTTTATAATTCAGGACAAGCAACTCCACAGTGAATCAGCTTCCAGTATAATGGTACATTATTTTTATCAACTAGATACTATGGCCAACTTATTTTCTTTGCCTGTTGGTGTTGTCAGAGTTGAAGCGTAGCATATTAAACTTACACTCTTTAAAACTCATAAACATTTTATAAGAAAAAAAAAACATGAAAAATGCTTGCATACGGGTAAAACATGGTACAGGCCCTCGCTGAAGATTCCCTATTTCTTCTTGACCGTGTGCACAACTCTTGTTTTTCATCCCAGTTTTATTTGTTTTTTGTTTTGGCAGTTGAGTGGGAAACCTAACACCATCTAGGCAATATTTCAAATCTGAGCCAAATATAGCCCGCGAGGTTTTCACGGGCCCGGGGATCAGGGCCTCTGGAGAGTGTTCTCAGGTTTGAAAACTCTGCTTGTGTTGTTAGCCCCAGCTTTGAAATCAACCTCATTTGGCTTTCTCCTGGGGTGAGGTAAGCGCCGAGTCATCAAATGACCTTTTGTGACGTTCAGAGTGATAAAAGCCCCCAGCACTCTCCGGGTCTCCTCTGGGTTTTCTCGACCGGCTGGATGACGGCGATCGGCGCCTCTTCAGGTCCGACTCCTTTCACGCACACGCACACGCACACGCACACCCACCTCCACTCTCCTCAACCTTTGTCGGGCCCACCACGCTCCTCTCCTGCTGCGGTCTGGGACCACCAGGGCCAGTTTCGGGGTTTTCTTTCTCCCGCGAGACTTGGCAGAATAGGCGTTAAAGGAAAAGGAGGCAGGGGAAGAAGTCAGAGATGACTAGCGCTAAGGGTCCTAATTAACTGAAGCACGCCCCTGCGTGACAGCGAGCAGCGCAGGTCTGCGGCGGAGGCCACACAGACAAGCGACCCCGGACCAACCGCCCTGCCGGCCCTGCCCAACTGCCCGCCCTGGCTCGTCACGTGACGGGGGAGCGGCGCGCGCCGGCAGCGGCGCCGATTGGCTGGCGGCGGGAGCGCGGGGTTTGATGGGAAGGTGTTGGCTCGGCCCGGGGCTCTGTCAGTGGCGGCCGCTGCGTGCTGGAGAGGCAGGCTGCGTACGCGGTGGCGGCCGAGGCTGGCAGGGGTGGACGCCGGGGCTGGGCTGCACCCGCTTCTCGCAGGTAAAGCGCTCGACATGAGGGCATTTGTGAGGCCTTGGGCGCGGGGTGGGGTGGGGGGGCGCGCTGAGGCTTGCCCGAGGAAATAAGCTCCCGGCTTGCCGGCTCGCCTCTCCCGGCGCTCCTGCCGCATGCCCCGTGGCCTAGGAGCTCTGAGGCGGTGTCTAGTCAGACTGGCGCGGGGGTGTGCGCCGACAGGGTCTCGCCGCCTAGTTCCCTCGATTTCCCAGCACAGCGGCAGAGGTGGGTCTGGGGTGCTGGAGATCCCGGTCCTGCGGTCTCCGCCCCCAACCCAGGGGCTGTTCTCGGAGATTCAGAGCGGTGACTGGCTTGAGCCTCAGCTCTTTGGCCCGTCTGTAGGTGTGGGCAAAGATTCAAAAAGTCCCAAACGAGCAGATCCTGAGGTAAACTCTGCGCTTTGACTGTTGTGCCCATCTTGAATTTCTCGGACTTGTGCGGAGGAGGCACGAGTTGGACAGATCCGCGGGGACTGAAAACTGACAGAGTCACGCCGCCCAGCCCCGGCATGTGGGCGTGGATTGCGGGCCACTTCGCAGAAGCGGCCCTAGCACCATTGTCCTTACGGAGGGGCGCAGGGCGGCTTGAGGGGTGGGGCGGGAGGGCGAAGATGCGTAGGTGTCCCGGGCGTGGCCGAGGAAGGCAAGCAAACCTAACCAGCATCGGTCAGTTTCAGGCCTTGAACGTCGTGTTTGCGCCGATCGAGAGCGCGCCGGGATTGGTGAACTCAGTTTTTGCTGATGGTGCGCGCACGGTTCTGAGCAGGACTTGTGACTCACTGAGTTTCGCATGTTCCGCTTTTCCCACGTAGCTTCTGGCGTGTGGTGCTGGTGTCTACTCTTTCCTCCTTTCTCTGTGGCCTGGGTCTCCCCAGTGTCAGGACTGACCCCGCTCAGCAGCGTTCCGGTGGTTGTGAGTAGGCCTGGTACCAGGCATACTCCTGTGTTCTAGCTGCAGGGAATGCTAACCCCTTGACCCCAGTTCTCTTAGGAGGACCCAGTTGATTTTTGAACACTTTGTATTAACCAGGAGTGGTGCGTTTGTAGTTAGATTTTTAAAAGTTCTTTGACATTTATTTAAATCACGTCTGTAATGCTGTTAATACATCTGTATAATGTCTATGTATTACTAACTTGAAAGAGAACATAAAAAGAGGAAGCAGTTACGGCTACCATAAAGGTGTCATTCTGTGTAAAAATCTTTCTAGTCAAAATTATTTTGATAGCATTTATTTTAGAATGAAAACAGACTCAACCATGAAAGCAACCATTTAATCATCGTGTAGTAAAAGTGCTTTTAGAGGTGTACTTCTTTTCATTGATTTTTAATTTTGGACAGTTTGTTTTGGAATATTTCAGAATTCCCATTTCAATTAGAATACTTGAGAGAGTTCAAGAGCAAATCATATTTAAAGTTTAATTGTATAATCCTCATACAGTATGTTTTGGAAGTAATTTGATGGTGATGAAATAGTTTATACTTAAGTTTGGAACAGGATTAATTAAGGCTAGAACTAAATTTCCATTGCTATTTTCTGAAAGACCTACTGGGTTATTTTAATGGAAGAGTCTGCAGAATATTTTACTTTTTTTTATTAGAGAAAATGATAGCAATGTAATTTCGTAAAAATATGATCTGTAATTTTATTTACAATTTAAAAAATATGAAGTAAGTGCTTTGTAAGAAGCTGGAAAGGTGCTTTAAGTACTACATGTGTTTTCTCATAATAGTATAATAATTGCTATGATTTATTAAGCACTTACTGTGTGTTGGATACTGTGCCAAGTGATACATACTTTCATTTAATACACCAATTATATAATGTGTAGATATTGTCACCATTTTATAAATGAGGTAACTGAGTAATAGAGAGTTTAAGTAATTTGCCCAAGATCACATAATCACCAGTATGAGATTGACCTATATTTTAAATACAGGTCTGTATTATTCCATTATATTAATGTTGCATGAAGTGAACTGAAGATTTAAGAAAAACATTTCTCAAGATTTTAAATTCTGACGCTCAAACCTGAGTGAATAGTAGTTGGTAGAAAGCATCAAAAAAAAGATGTTATTGTTAATTAAAAAACACATTTAAATGCACCCAACTCTTAAGATTTCATGCCAGATCCCATGTGATATCAAAGTGGGAAGACACTCTGTACATGCCATAGTAGAGTTCCTGGGAACAACTCATTTGAGGTTGAGCCATCTGTCCACTCGAGCACAAGCAAATTGATTTATGCTTCAGAGGGAAATGTAGGGTTATTTGACTCCCCTGTGTTTTCATGTACACGTATCTGAAAGGAGGCAGATCTGTTGAGAAAACAACAATGATCATAGATATAAAAACAAGTTGTGTTGAACAATTATGTATCAGGAACTGTTGAAACAGTTCAGAATTCATTATGTCATATATTTCAGAAGGTAAAGAGGGACCTTGACTATCTATCCCTTTTTTGCAGATGGAGAAATTGAGTAACAGAGAGGTTAGGTAACTTATTTTCCAAGGTTTCATAGTAAAGTGGCCACAGGAGTTTGAGTTAAGGTGTTTGGGTTGACAAGAGAGAATCATTAGTTGAAAATAGAAGACATGTGAAATTAAAGCTAAAGAAATATTTAATTTTGTTATGTTTTCATGCCTGTTGTAAAGTTCCACTCGTTACATGTACATTATAATCAATCAACTTCTTTAGCAAATACCCAAATTTGATCGAAAAATTGCTGGAACAATAAAGGTTGACTATTTCTTTGGTTATGAATAGGAAAGCATGGATATGGCATTTTAGGACTATCACCCTAATGTTGTTTTAGAGCACTGATTTAAAAGCACAATCCCTTGCTTCAAAGAATCTTTGAAGCTAAGCCCTGATTGTTTCATTAACATCAAAACAATTCTCCAAGCAAGTAATTGATGTCAAAATTAGTATTAATTGTGATATTATGCATGTATTTCATGTTGTGCTTATTTTAAGAGTGACATGCAGTAAACAAATAAGGACAACACTTGTAGACTTCTAGTACTTATTCTGCCTCTATCTGGAACTACATGATTTTGGCAGTCATTTAGCTTCTCTTTAATGGAGATTTAAACATTCACATTTAATCAGATAAAGGAATTGGTTTACATGATACATTGTACTTAACACTGTCTCTTGTGTTTATAACTCCCTTTCCACTTCAGTAGTTCTGTTTACCAACTCTTTGAGAATATCATAGGTATTTTCATATATATAACTATTCCAATCTAATCTATATGAATCAGACTTCATTTCTGATTTTGTGTTACTCAAAATAAATGATTGATTTTTAGGAAAAAAAAAGATCTACCCCTGCCACCTAATGTTTTTAGGACCTTAGCAAATTACTCCACTTCTCTGGCTTCATGTTACTCATTTGTAATATGGGGGGGAAAGTAATATCTAAATGATAGAATTCATGTAAAGCATTTGTTTTAGGGCAAGCTAGAGATTAAATGAATGATACTGGTTTTGTTATTAATTTCATATATTGAAAATTCAGTCAAGTGTGTGATGGCTACAAACTTAATTTGGAGGCATATAATTCTTTTATAAAAATGTGGTCGATTGAGTACCAAACGCTGTAGTAGATACCATACACCAGTTCCAAAATAGTGTAATGATGTATACTTTGAATATTCCAAGTTGAGTGGTTCCTCTGAATATCAGCCCCCTCACCTTTCTTTTCCTTTTCCTTTTTTTTTTTTTTAAGATTTATTTTTATTTATTTGAAAGAGTCACAGAGAGAGGTAGAGACAGAGAGAGAGAGAGGTCCTCCATCTGCTGGTTCACTCCCCATATGGCCGCAACGGCCGGAGCTGAGCTGATTCGAAGTCAGGAGCCAGGAGCTTCTTCCAGGTATCCCACGTGGGTGCAGAGGCCCAGGGATTTGGGCCATCTGCTTTCCCAGGCCTTAGCAGAGAGCTGGATCAGAAGATGAGCAGCTGGGACTTGAACCGGCGCCCATATGGGATGCTGGCGCTTCAGGCCAGGGCTTTAACCCACTGTGACACAGCACTGGCCCCAGGCCCCTAAACTTTCTTGGTGATTATTTTTAGCACCTTAGGAAGGTTGAGAGGGGCCAGTGCTATGGTGCAGTGGGTTAACACCCTGGCCTGAAGCGCTGGCATCCCATATGGGAGCCAGTTCAAGACACACCTGCTCCACTTTCTGTCCAGCTCTCTGCTATGGCCCGGGAAAGCAGCAGAAGATGGTCCAAGCCCTTGGACCCTGCACCGATGTGGGAGACCCGGAAGAAGCTCAAGGCTCCTGGCTTCGGATTGGCACAGCTCCGGCCGTTGTGGCAATTTGGGGAGTGAACCATTGGATGGAAGACTCTCTCTCTCTCTTTCTTTCTCTCTCTCCCTGCATCTCCTCTCTCAGTATAACTCTGACTTTCAAATAAATAAATAAATCTTTAAAAAAAAAAAAGAATGTTGAGATTTATTTAATGTCTTGACTCAAATTTACACTTTAGTTCATTAAAGTTCTTGGATTTCCTAGAACCACATTTTAGAAATTTGAGTACTGAGGTAATATTAAGAGTTAATAATATTTGGATTATAACTTACATTGGCTTGTGACATTCATTATATTTATCAATTTTATAGATACTTTGTCCTTAAAAATGACTTTGTAAGTAAGAGTATCATAGTTAGACACTCTGTTACTTTTGTAAGAAACTCCAATATACATATGCCTTATGCTAAATTCTCTATATAAATAGTGTTGCAGGTGAATGTTCTTATTGAGTACTGGTATTTTGTAATTATATTTGTAGTTAAAAAAACGTGAGCAGATACTTTTTTTTGATGGGGGGCAGTGAAGTAGTTCCACACATTGGCAAGTACAAGCTGTAATCTGGTAAAAATATGTCACTTTAAAAGTATACTTTTAATATTTCAATTTAAAAATAAATTATGTAATTATTGAAGATAAATTGATTTAGAGTATAATATTGTCTACTACAAAACATTGTAGAGTCATAGAAAAACACCTAAAGATATATAGCTTGCTGACATGAAGATCAACTAGCCGGGGGGACTTAGACAAAATTTCAGAGAGAAATGCTTATCGGGGTATCGGACTGCAGTGTTTAGTAATAGGGAGCAGCAGTCTGAAGATAGCAGGGCTTTTTAAATTCAAGTTTATCCTGATTTATTGGGTTAATCACTCTTTTCATTTATTTATTTTTTTTAATCTGTAAGATGTTAATATTGAAGGCTAAACTGTGAAAAGGGGTTGATATTAACAGTAATTTACAGAAAAGAAAGTCAAGGCTCAAAATCATTAAATGACTTACTTAAGATCACAGGTAACCTTGTAACCCTTATTTTCTTATTCAAAATTCAGTTGGCTTTGATATTATTCTAAACATTGTAAAACATCCATAATTCCAAATAACTAGCTTACTTGGGAGACAGATGAATGGCAGAAATAGTTATTCAAAGTAGATTGAATGAGGCCCCAGTGCTGTGCTGCACTAATCCTCCGCTTGCGGCGCCGGCATCCCATATGGGCGCCAGTTCTAGTCCTGGTTGCTCCTCTTCCAGTCCAGCTCTCTGCCATGGCCTGGGAAAGCAGTGGAGTATGGCACAAGTGCTTGGGCCCGTACACCCGCATGGGAGACCAGGAGGAGGCTCTTGGCTCCTGGCTTCGGATTGGCGGAGCTCCGGCCGTTGCAGCCATTTGGGGAGTGAACCAACGGAAGGAAGACCTTTCTCTCTCTCTGTCTCTCACTGTCTGTAACTCTTACCTGTCAGATAAATAAAATCTTTAAAAAAAAATAAAGTAGATTGAATGAAAGTTGTATAATAAAGCTTCCATTACAAGAACAACATAGGAAAGCTACTTTAAAAAATAGAAATTTGCAAAGTGGTATGAATATATACTTCAAAAATTCTTTGTCATTTAAAAAGTCTTTCCAGCTTTATTTCCACCTTTAAGTATGTTCTCACTATGAAGAAACAATTTATTAAAGATATATTTATTTTTATTGGAAAGGCAGAGTTACAGAGAGATCGATCTTTCATTCATTGGTTCACTCCCCAAATGGCTGCAGTGGCCATGGCTGAGTCAGGCTAAAGCCAGGAGCCAGAAGCTTCTTCCAGGTCTCCCACATGGGTACAGAAGCCCTGGAACTTGGGACATTTTCTGCTGTTTCTCCCAAGCTATTGTAGGTAGCTAGGTTGGAAGTGGAGCAGCTGGGACATGAACTGGTGCCCATGGAGGATGCCAGTGATAATCTCATCATGTTCTGTGGCTTAATCTGCTATGCTTCAGTGCTGGCCCCAAAGAAATAATCTTCAAAAGGTGGCATACATCCCGATGATTGAATTTAAATTCCACATAATTAGCGTATAAAGAAATTAATATTTTGTAGTATTTTTAGGTAATATTGTACTATCTAAATTTTAGAGTGGGTATGTTGTATGTTTAACTTAACATTTAAAAATACTTGCTCTATTTCTAGCTGTGATTTCTTTTGGACAGTTGGTGATATTTGCCATTGTGCCCAATTTCTATGAGTAAAAGATGGGTGGATTATTTTCTCGATGGAGGGTAAGTTATTTTTCTTTACCGTCTAGCTAGTTCTTAAGTTTAATGTAAAAGTATTACATAATGGTGCCTATAAAAGTTTCCTTTGTGGTAGCCTTCAGTAGTAGTTTAATACTATCTTTCACTTTGCTTAATTTCTTTTTTCTTCTCTCTGAATTGCTTTTTTTACTTGGATTTTATTTTAAAAGTTCTATTTGCACTATAGAGATCTGTTTATTTGACTAAGTTGTTTCACTTTGACTTAGGACATTTATTTCTGCTTTCATGTGTTTTTGCGCAAATGTTTTCTTGTTTTCTTCTCATATTGCTTAAATTTCAAACTTACTTGAAAGGTGGTAGAAATTAAATATTCTGCAACATACTTGAAGTTTTTGTTTTAAAGATTTACTTATTTGTTTGCAAGACAGAGTTATAGATCAAGTGAGAGAGAGACACACACAGAGAAAGAAAGCAAGATCTTCCATCTGCTGGTTTACCCCCTAAATGGCCAACAGCAGGGGCTGGCTAGGCTGGAAGCCAGGAACCTGGAACTCCATTCAGGTCTGCCACATGGGTGGCAGGGTCCAAGTACTTGGGCCATCTTCCACTGCTTTTCCAGGCCATTAAGTAGGGAGCTGGATTAGAAGTGGAACAGCCAGGACTCAGATTGGCACTGACATGGGATGTTGGTGTTGCAGGCCATTGCTTAACACTCAGTGCCACAACACTGGCCTCTACACTTAAATTTGTTAAAGACTGTTTTTCTTTTTACTTAAAACTTGTCACAAATATTTACTAAAATCATACTAAATACACTTTTAGGAATTAGAGGTTAAACAAAATTCAAAATGCAGTTTGATTTTATTGGCTAAGTCTTTAGAGGAAATATCTCAATTTTAGAGCTAGAAAATATAAATGTAAGAGGTGATAATATAACCTAGGACAAATTGTTTATTTTTTGCTTCTATATTATTACAATAGAGTCTAGCAATACTTGGTACAAAATTTAGTGTTTTTTAAAATATGTATTTATTTATTTGAAAGGCAGAGTTACAGAGAGGTAGAAGCAGAGAGAGAGGGAAAGAGAGAGAGAACTGTCTTCCATCCACTGGTTCACTCCCCAGATGGCTGCAACTGCTGGAGCTGTGCTGATCTGAAGCCAGGAACGAGGAGCTTCTTCTGGGTCTCCCATGAGGGTCCAGAGCCCAAGGACTGGGCCATCTTCTGCTTTCCCAGGCCATAGCATAGGGCTGGATCGGAAGTGGAGCAGCCAGGACTTGAACCAGTGCCCATATGGGATGCCGGCACTACAGGTGGTGGCTTTACCCGCTGTGCCACAGCACTGGCCCCTTAGTTTTTGAACTGTTGGTAGAACAGCATTATTTTGGATTAGCATTATATCGACCCTGCCTTTTTTTTCCCCTTTATTTTTTAAATTGCTAGATAAAATTATTTAGAAGTATGTGTTTGTTTTAAGGAATGGTTAAATCCAGGAAATTAAAAGATGTATTATCTCAAATAGTTATCAGTTTTATGGTAAGAACACTTGACATACAAGAATGCATCATCATTAGCTGCAGTCACCATGGGGTATAATAGATATTTTGAACTTACTCTTCCTATCTAACTCTAATTTCATATTCTTCAACAACCCTCTCCCTCAAATTCCCCAGCCTCTGGTAACCACTATTCTACTCTTTAATTCCATGAGATGAGTTCTTTTGGATTTCACATATGAATGAGGTGACTCCCCGTATAAAAATCTTATGATAGTTTTGTCTAAATATCAGATTTATCTGTTCTTCTGTTCTCTTTCTTACTAGGTTAAACTGTATGAAATTGTCAATATTTAAGTACTTATAAAAATGGCAATCACATACAGTTCAACCTAATGTTAACAGCTCTTCTGGGAACTACAAAGAGCTGATATTCATTACCCTCTTGGATTGTTGAGTATGTAATTGGTAAATATTTTCTTAAGTATTATAAGAGCCATTTTGGCTGGTTTTGGTTCTAGATGGTATTAAAAAAAACTTTGGCAAACAAACTTTGCTATAATGAAGTATTCTGAGATGCCTTTAAAAACCTGATCTTCAAAAAGGTACTTAGGAATTCAGAATGAAAGTAAGCTATTGATTTTGACCCCTAGAGTCATAAGTGAACTTTTAGCATCAGACCATCTTTAGTCTGTGAGTTTTTTAGTATGAATTCTCTGGAATAATAATATCTAAGAACATTTTTCTTGGAGCAAAATTGTTTCTTTGAAAGTATGCTCTATTGAGGTGTAGAATGGGAAGAGTTGAGCTATCAGGGTTGAAAGTCTGGGACTAAAGAAATTAAATAAATGCTTGTTTCTTTAATCTTATGAGGTTATATTTGTAATTATAATTTTTATTTAAATCATTATAAACAGGAATACATGTTATATAGCGTTTGCAAAAACAATATTTGATTAAAATGTTCTTTTATGACTATGTAAATAAAAATTTTTCTTTTTGTTTGTAGTAATAAGTTTTAATGCTGTCTCATTTCTGTTTCCATAACAGACAAAACCTTCAACTGTAGAAGTGCTAGAAAGTATAGATAAGGTATGTTCTTTGTTGAAGTATTCATTTTAATTCATTTTAACTATTAAATATTATTTTAGTATGTATAATTGTAGAGACTAAATCTGGGATGGGAATTTAGAGATGACATGGAGTAAATCTGAGAACTTTAATGTTACATGATCTCAAAAAAATCCAGTCTATCAGTGACTTAAGTCTGCATCAAGTAATAGAATCTGTAAGAATAAAATTAGATTAACAGTATGAAATCAGTATTACAGATAGGATACAATAATTATAAGAGTGTTCAATAATTTTTAAGTCTACAAAATTTACACAGTTTTTATATTACCATCAAAAGTAATTATTTCTCAGGAATATTAAAAGTGGTAAATAGACAAGAATCTACTATGGATCACTTTCAATTTTTCTTCTTTTTTTTTTTAAGATTTATTTGAAAGGCATAGTTGGAGAGGGAGAGTAAGAGGTGGGGAGAGAGAGGTCTTTCATCTGCTGGTTCACTTCACAAATGGCCATAAGCTGAAGCCAGAAGCCCAAACTCCATTTGGGACTCCCATGTGGGTGGTAGGGACCCAAATACTTGGGCCATCTTTTGCTCCTTTCCCAGTCACATTAGCAAGGGAGCTGGATTGGAAGTGGAGCAACCAGTACTTGAATTGGCATTTATATGGGATGCCGGCATCATAGGTGGCAGCTTAACCCACTGAGCCACAACACTGGCTGGCCCCATTAATTTTTATTTTTTAAAGATTTATTTATTTATTTGAGAGGCAGAATTATAGGTGAGAGGTACAAAGAGAGAGAGAGGAGAGAGAGAGAGAGAGTGAGAGAAAGAAAGAGAAAGAAAGAAATCTTCCATCCACTGATTTATTCCCCAGATAGCTGCAATGACCAGAGCTGTGCCAACCTGAAGCCATGAGCCAGGAGCTTCTTCCAGGTCTCCCACGTTGGGTACAGGGGCTCAAGGATTGAGGTCATCTTCCATTGCTTTCCCAGAGTATTTAGCAAGGAGCTAGATCAGAAGTGGAGCAGCCAGAACTCAAACTGGTACCCATATGGGATGCTGGAGCCACAGGCAGAGGCTTAACCTACTATGCCACAGCACCAGTCGCCATATTTTATAATTACCAATCTTTTTTAGGTCTCATTCTAAGAGAATCATTAGTTGTTTGATTAAATCAGTATTATTTATTGATGCCAATTTCACTTCTCTAATCTTTGCCTCTTTAATAGGTTAAAAGTAGTAATTTTGCATTTTAAACAGTGATTTGGCAGAGTAAGCATTTAAAAATTTTAGCTTCATTTTTAGTTTTTCATATTATGTTCTATTTAAAATTATTAGAATATTATATTTCATTGAGTTTTAAGAGTTCTTTCTATATAACCTTCCATGTTAAGAATTTTTAGCATTTTTTAAATGATGTTTAAGATTTATTAATGTGAAATAATTTTCTCTTAACAGGAAATTCAAGCATTGGAAGAATTTAGGGAAAAAAATCAGAGATTACAAAAATTATGGGTTGGAAGATTAATTCTTTATTCTTCAGTTCTCTATCTGTTTACATGCTTAATTGTGTACTTGTGGTATCTTCCTGATGAATTTACAGCAAGACTTGCCATGACACTCCCATTTTTTGCATTTCCATTGATGTAAGTATATTGTTCTTTAAGTAGACTTTTTCTTTTCTTGATCAGATAGCTTTAATATATTCAGCTTTGATATATTCATATGATATATGTTTTTATTATTAGATGGAAATGTCTCAGACTGAAAAGCTGAACTTTGTGCAGTTTGAAAAATGTATCTTTAATAGAACAGTTGTTTTAAGCCTTTATTTGTAATTCAACATATCTGAGGACTATCATCCAGAGCTATTAGTAATGATGGCTCTATATGACAATATTCTGTGATTTTCTGTTAGATGGGAACATTGAGCGTGAAATGGTGGGGAATAATGGTAAAGGAGAGTTATTTATTTATTTATTTATTTTTAAGATTTATTTTATTTTACAGAGTTACAGAGAGAGGTAGAGACAAAGACAGAGAGAGAGAGAGAGAGAGAGGTCTATCTGCTGGTTCACTCCTCAAATGGCCACAAGGGCTGGAGCTGAGCCAATCCGAAGCCAGGATCCAGGAGCCAGAAGCCAGGAGCTTCTTCTAGGTCTCCTACGTGGGTACAGGCGCCCAAGGACTTGGGCCATCTTCTGCTGCCCTCCCAGGTACATTAACAGGAAGCTCGATTGGAAGTGGAGCAACCAGGGATTCATACTGGTGCCCATATGGGATGCCGGCTCTACAGGCCAGGGCTTTAACCTGTTGTGCCACAGAGCCGACCCATACAGGAGAATTTGTAAAATGAACAGAACAATTGCCCAAATGGTTCTAGATATATTCCATTCATTGGAACTCTTCTCCATTGACCTTTATTATGAAAGTATAATATAGCACCTTACAGGAGGTGTTTTGATTGAGAATTTTTTTAAAAGATTTTACTTATTTATTTGGGAGGTAGAATTACAGAGGGAGGGAGAGACAGATGGAGGTCTTCCATCCGCCAGCTCCCTCCCCAAATGGCCGCAAAGGCTGGAGCTTGGCTCTTCTAGGTCTCCCTTGCAGGTGCAGGGGCCCAAACATTTGGGCCATCCTCTGCTGCTTTTCCAGGCCGTATTAGAGAGCTGGATTGGAAGAGCAGCAGCTGGAACATGAATGGCACCCATATGGGATACTGGCGCTGCAGGCAGAGGCTTAGCCAACTATGCCTCAGTGCTGGCCCCTTGATTGAGAATTTTGAGATATGATTGAATACAAAATTTGTTTATCAAATCAACAAACATTTATGGATAACTGATTATGTAGACATTGGATTATAATGGGGTATGGTACAGAAAAATGTAAAATGGCTAACTGTAGTTGTTAGACTGCATACATTATGTAATAAGTATGATAAATATTATGAAAAAGTTATGGGAACATTTGATACAGGTCACAACCTAGCTTAGGGTGGAAATAACACTCAAGGAAGAGCCTCTGTATTATTTTTTCCATTGCTGCCATGAATTTAGTAACTTAAAACAACACCTATTAAATCAGTTCTGCAGGTCAGAAGTTCATTTGGCTTTGCATTGTTCTCTGCTTAGAGTATCATGGGCCTAAGTCAAGGTATCAGCAGCCTGGGATCTTATCTGGAGTCTTTTTTATTTTTTAAAGGTTTATTCATTTATTTGAAAAATAGACATCTACTAGTTAATTTCCCAAATGGCTGCAACAGCCAGGCCTGGGCCAGGCTGAAGCCAGGAGCTGGGAACACCATACTAGTCTCTTTTTAAAAAAGATTTTATTTGAAAGGCAGAGTTAGAGAGAGAGAGAGAAATCATCCATTCACTGGTTCATTCCTCAAAAGCTGGGGTTGGGTTAGGCCAAAGCCAGGAGACAGGAGCTTCTTCCTCATCTCTCATCTCATGAGTGCAGGGGCCAAAAGACATGGGCCATCTTAGCTGCTTTCGCAGGCACATTAAGCAGGGAGCTGGATTCAACGTAGAGCAACACATATTAAAACCCACTCTCAGGCCGGCGCCGCGGCTCACTAGGCTAATCCTCCGCCTAGCGGCGCCGGCACACCGGGTTCTAGTCCCGGTCGGGGCACCGGATTCTGTCCCGGTTGCTCCTCTTCCAGTCCAGCTCTCTGCTGTGGCCTGGGAGTGCAGTGGAGGATGGCCCAAGCTTTTGGGCCCTGCACCCCATGGGAGACCAGGAAGAAGCTCCTGGCTCCTGGATTCGGATCGGTGTAGCTCGGACTGTAGCGGCCATTTTGGGGGGGTGAACCAATGGAAAAGGAAGACCTTTCTCTCTCTCACTGTCTAACTCTGTCAAAAAAAACCCAAAAAAAACACACACACTCTGATAAGGGATGCTGGAGTACGAAGCAGCAGCATAACCCCTGACTCCCAGTGTGGAGTCTTTGAAGGGAATCTGCTTTCAGGCTCAACCAGGTTGTTGGCCAGTTTCTGCTGCAAGTCTGACTTTCTCTTCTGCTTGTAGCTAGGAGAAAGCTCTGCTTATAAGAACTTAAGTGAATTATATTTGATCCACCAGGATAATCTCCTTATTTTAAAATAAACTGAGTAATGACCTTAATTACCTCTGCAAAGTTCCTTCACAGCAGTATGTGGATTACTGTTTGATTGTGTAACCAGAGCATGGAAATCTTTGTGATAGGGGAAGGATATCTTTAGAATTCTGTCTACCACAGACTCTCTGAGGAAGCAGTGTTTGTGTTTGAGAACTGAAAGATGAGTATGGGTATCTAGGGTGGTATGACATGGTGTTTTAGGTAGAAGAGCTGTATTCTTTTGAAGGCCCCATGGTAGGCTAGAGCATGGTCAGTGTAAACAATGGGAAGAAGGCCAAAGACTTGATCATAGAGATAAAGCTGGGTAGCTGATAGGGATATTTCACGTGGGCCTTATAGTATGTAATAAGGATTTTAGATTTCATTCTAAGAGTAGTAGGAAGCCATTGTAGCCACTGAGGCTATAACTTGACAGCAATAAATGGATCTGGAGCATGAGTTAGAAGGGTGTTATAATTGTCTAGGAGAGAAATGATGGGTGGTGATTTGTACTTGAGTGATAAGTTTGAAGAGAAGCAGATGGACTGATGAAATAGATGGATTGAAGAGATTTAGGAGATAGAATTGAAGTTACATGGAGAGGCTTCGGTGGTGAATGGACATGGGCTAAGGGGGAGGAATCCTTATCAAGGATAAAACTTAAGTTTGTGGTTTGGGAAATTTGGCTGGTGGTAGTGTCACCTAACCAAATAGGGAGCACTGTGAGGAGGAGCAAGTTTAGTGACCCACCATTTGCCTGTGTGCTTTTCAGATGGTGCTGCCAAGTAGGTGGTTATGTTTGAATATGAAGATCACAGGAGAAATCTGAATGGGAGATACAACTTTAGTGTTTGGTACCTTATAAACGTTAATTGAAGTCATCTTCTCTTCATATATTAAATATTAGGCATCTGCCCTGTGTTAGTTATTAGCTAGACACTAATGATAGAGAAAGTAGTGATAAAGTCTCCGCTTTCATGGAGCTTACATTCTGCTAGGGTGGGAAGACAAAAAATAGAGACAGGCAAAACAAAGACATAGTTAGAGAGAGAGGGAGAGACAAGTGCAGTGGAGATGGATGGTTTTGGAAGACCCTTTTGAAGAGGTGGTTTTTGATTTCAGAACTGAAGTATGAGGAAGAACCAGGTGGAAAGAATTAGATTTATGAACGATTATTTATATATAATAGAGCATTGATCTACAGAGAGATGTATAGAAGGATCATCCTCAAAATATTAAGAGTAATTCTTTCTAGGTGGTAGAATCTTAGTTATTTCTTGCCATATACTTTTTTGCTGTTTGAATTTTTTTGGTATCAATGTGTTCTTTGTATCCTAAAATCAAAAATACAATAATTGAGGGAGTATCTTTCTAAGAGAACATAAAATGCAAAGGCTGTGAAGTAGGAGAGAGTATGACTTATTTAAGAACCAAAAAAATAGATATATCTGAATGTGTGACGGAGAGGAGGAAGTGATAAGAGAGAGGTAAGCTTGTAGAATCAGGCAGGATCCACCTCATGGAGGCTCAGGGTTAGAAGTTTGAAGTTGGGAGAAATGGGAGGTTTGTAAAGTCTTAGTGGAAGAGAAGCATGATGAGATTCAAGTTAAGAGTGTCTCATACTGCCCTTGGAGATTGGGTAAGAAGAGAACAAGAGTAGAAACAGGTAGGAGTTGTTATCGAAGTTTAATCTAAAGATGACTGCCCAGTGATACTTGAAGTAATACTGATAGAATTTGATGGGAGTTAAGGGAAAAGGAGGAATCAAGGGTGATATTTAAATTTTTGATTTGGGATTTTGTGGCAGTAGGATCTTTTTCTTTAGGATTACTGTAGTAAAAGAGATTGTGTTTCTTTTGTCTTCAGTGCAGAACTTTCTGTTTTTTAGATTTATTTATTTGAAAGGCAGAGTTACATGGGGGGCGGGTTGGGGGGGCAGAGAGAAGTCTTCCATCCACTGATTCACTCCCCAAATGGCTGCAATAGCCAGGGCTGGGCCAGGCTGAAGTCAGGAGCCAGGAGCTTCTTCCAGGTCTCCTACATGTGTGCAAGAGCCCAAGAACTTGGGCCATCCTCTGCTGCTTTTCCAGGTGCATTAGGGAACTAGATCAGAAGTAGAACAGCCAGGACTTGAACAAGTGCCCATGTGGGATGACGGTGTTGTAGGCGGTGGCTTAACTCCCTATGCCACAGGCTGGCTCCCAAGGATATTTTCAAATTGAAATTCATGAACTCATAAACTTTTAAATTTATGTGTATGAATTTGAACATACATTGTTCAAATACGAGAGCTCAACTTACATACTAAATACTGTGATTGTCTGCTAATTTCTTTATTTTCTTTCTTTGTAAAATCTTTTAGCATGCTTTTTATCCCAGGAATGATAGTGGATTTTATAACACTGAATCCCTTTCCCTTGTTTTCTTTTTACTTTTCATAAAGAATGGAGAAAAGAAATTTAGAAAGGGAAAAAAATGGTTGATTTTTATATTTTTTAATAAAGATTTATTTATTTATTTGAAAGAATTACAAAGAGAGTG